TATATATATATATATATATATATATATATATATATATATATAGTGTTAAATAGCTTTATATACATTTAAATAGATTTACATTTAAATATAAACACATTGTTGGACAGGGTATTAAATAGGGTATGTTTTGGGATGATTGTGTTTTTAAAACAACCAGTTTGTCCTTTTCAGCATAAGGGAATGTGACTACTTATTTTGTTAGATTTTATCTTAGGCCTGACTTTATAGTTTGACTTTATAGTTTGCTTCTGGTAGTAGCTACTAAGTTCTCACATGTAAGTCTAGGACTTCTCTGAGCTAATAAATAGGCCAAATCTTTGAATCTGAATTCTTTAATCCACTTAAAATGTATTTTCAGGTCATTTTACCTCAGAAGACAAATTTCATGCCATTCTAAATGTGTTCTCTGTCTCTGATTAATCTTTAAACAATAATATGCCGTTCTTCTGTTGAATTCCTGACATATGTTAGAATTATTTGCTAACTTATATACTCATGGCTTCCTTGTATGCTTAACTTCTTGTGTTTCTGGTTTGCATACTTAGGGACACATTTGTTCTTTGTCTGGTGAACGGTGGATCTAGCTTTGTGGCAGGGTTTGCTATCTTTTCAGTTTTGGGCTTCATGTCATATGAGCAAGGGCTGCCAATATCCCAGGTTGCTGCTTCAGGTAAGATGTTTGTTTGTATTTGAAAATCATAAGGGAGTTTTCACTAAAGCCATTTTAATTTAGCATGTACGACTAAACGGTCATCTTGTCTGATTGATGTCAGAAAATGTTTGGATTTTAAGATGCTTGTGCTTACTCTCAACTTTACTAGAGGAGACTTTCTCTAAATTAATGGGAAAATTATTTTACTTGTACATTAAGTGTTTAAAATGATCGTTCTTGACCACATTTTGCTCATTTCCACAGGACCTGGCTTGGCATTTATTGCCTATCCTCGTGCTGTAGCCATGATGCCCTTCCCTCAACTGTGGGCTGTTTGTTTCTTCATCATGGTTATTTTGTTAGGTGCAGACACACAGGTAAAACATGATAAATAAAGACCAAAGCTGATCTGTTAATTAATCAAACCTGAGTTACACCTGGTTTACTGTTGGTACACAGTCCAAAGTAATTTGGTGCATTAGGAGATATATATGTTGTCTCTTTGTATGAGAAGATATATAAGTTTATATCTTAACCTTTTCAAGTCTATATTATTGCTCTGGTCTGATCTGTGGTATATTAATTAGAGCCAATGTATTGGAATATCTTTTTAGTATTAATTATTTATGTGACTTTTGTTATCTTTTGCTTCCTATCCAGTGTTTCAACAAAATGTGTTTGTGTGTATCATCAGTTTGTGAGCCTAGAGTGCTTGATGACCTCAGTCACAGATATGTTTCCCTCCGTGTTTCGAAGAGCTTATCGCAGAGAACTGCTGCTGCTTTGTCTTTGCACCATTTGCTTCTTTCTTGGCCTCCTTCTCGTCACAGAGGTGAGAACTGTTAGTGCTGTCCACAAAAGAAAAAATCTAATATTACTAAATTGGCTGTTTACAAGTTTGAACAGAAGAGCATTTTTGGTATTTGAGTTTACTTCTTCTTTGTTGAACATACTGTAATAGTGACCATTTCGTCTTCCTGTAGGGGGGATTGTATTTCCTGCAGCTCTTCGATCACTATGTTTGCAGTGGCAATAATCTTCTCCTACTTTCAGTGTGTCAGTCCATAGCAATGGGATGGATATATGGTAAGTAAAAAAAAATCCTGGAGCATGCACACATAAAAACATCAATAAACATCACATGACTAAGCAACTTGATTTTAGTATTGCTGCTCTATAACTTAAATAGGTCTCTTTTTATGCTAATCTTTTGTGATATTTGAGATGTTCCTGCTCCATTTGCACATCCTGTCCTAGGATTTCTGGTGAAATAAACCCCAGAGGTTTTCAAAGACCCTTAGCCAGGGCCAAAGATAAGCACAAAGCTTCTAGTGTTTGCTTTCTTTTTTTTTTCTGAAAGGAAGTAAGCATGGGATAAATGTATTTATAGAGATCTCTACAACAACGAATTGTTTCTCCCTGGAAGATAAACTTGTTACAACAACAAAATAAAATGCATTTAACTTTATTTCATATTGCAATACTAACTAATGCATAACTGCATGATGGAAAGAAGATAATAAATGTAAAAGATAAATTATTGAAAACTGAAAGGTATGATGTGCATATATCTTTAAACCATTTTACTCCAATACCCTTAAATAAAACCAAATACTAGTAATTATTTGAATATTTCAACAAATTAGTAAACGGAGCCCATCAGTATGTAATTTAATCTACCGTAAGTATCAAGACGTTCTGTGAAAGCCCGGCAAGAGGTGCTGTAATCAGAGAAGCAGCTGAGAGATATAAGGCCCTAGTAGAGGGGTGGGGGGGCTCAGCTGATTAGTCATGAGAGAAGTCATGTGTTCAGTAATTTTGATAAAAAGCTACTGATCTTTGTGTTTCTCACTTGTACCTTTAACTTACCAGTATTAGTGGCATTTTACAAAGTCACTGCCTTCCATCAATACATTTTGACGTCCAACAGATTAATGCATTTCACTGACACGTCAAAAAATATGAGTTTAATTACCGGTAACACTTTAGATAAGGCCTTAGATAGGAGCTTAGGAGATAGACTTAATTAAATGCCACTGGTAACATTGTTGTGCGCTTTGGACTGTAACATCCTCGTTTGAGGCTCTGTGATTCCACTGATGTCTCAGAAAGCTGCATGACTGGGTTACAAAGTTTCATCAATTCTTGGAATGCATTTGTGAGCTTATCCCAGATATGTGGTATGCCTGCCTTTCCCTGAGGTCCGTTCAAGCTCTTCATTATCTTCCCCCTGAGAGCCTGGCATTTATTTTTCCCCCTCAATAACCGTCCTGATCTGGGTGTCCACAGGAAGAGATTGTTGCTATGGATCAGCAGTTGTAGTTGATTTTGAGAGTTTACACCAGGAACAAATCCAACCTTTAAGGAGTAGCTAACTCAATGTGTTAAGGTAAACAGGAAAAGCATGGCTATTATTAAAAAGCAAATGAAAAAAAAAAAAAACTATATCAGGAAAAATCCAATGCAACAGATGAACAGGAAATGTTGGTATAAAACAAGATTCTTTTGCAATGTCAATATGTCATTATTATTCTTCCACTGTGCGCCATTAGTCAAATTAGCATGAAAATGTACAAACAAATAGGCGTATGTTGCTTATGTACCATTAAATGCACTTTGATTCGAGCTTAGTGTGACAAAGAAGATTTGGCATTTCTGAATATCCAAGATTTTCCTAAAAATATGTTTTCAGTGCTCTGAGCAGAATGCTATGGTTTCTGATTTCCCTAAACAGGTGCAGATCGTCTCTATGATAACATTGAAGACATGATAGGTTACCGCCCGTGGCCTCTGATGAAGATTTGCTGGCAATACATAACTCCTTCTGTTTGTCTGGTGAGTCACTAAATAGCAGAATGTGGGAAATGTAACTTGGCATGTCAGTGAGGAAAAGAAGCTAAAGCATGTATGCAAGCATACAGAGTTATAAAAAAAATATACTTACCTAACATGCAAATTTCCTTTGCGTTTGTCCTTTTTCTTAACACCTAATATTTCAGGTTGTCACATTTATTTCCATCAGACTAAGATATCAAAGGCAGGAAGAAAAAGCAATTTTCAAATTAAGAAATTGAATTTATTGGGTGAAAAAAAGGTCTGGGATTGCTTAACTGTTTTGGTTCCTGCACAGATTACTATAATTAATGGAGCCATTAATTCTGTTGCCTATACCAAAATCAGAAAGTACAATGTTCATCCTGGCAAAATTGGATAATCCAGCAATGGAAAGTTCCAAAGCACCCTTGGACGTCTTTTTCTGAATAGCTGAAAAAATTAATAGATAAAATGATGGATTTTGTATAATTTTCTTCCCTGGATCTAACTGAAATTTTGGACTTTACACACGTTGTCCATACTCATTTTTCTATTATGTTGCTTAATTCTAACAATTCTGCAATGTTAAATAATCCGTGCCAGGTGTCACAAGTGCTTAATGGCTTGTCCCTGCCAAGAACTTTTTTTTCCTATAGTGTGCAATTAGTCTAGATAGTTCCTGATTCCTGATAATAAAGTCATTGTCTGCCTTTTTACAAATTGTTTAGCTATCTCTGACTAACTGCTTTCTTTAAAAGAAAATTCAACTCTTAAAAATTTATATTTTGAAGGAAAGATGTTTTATCTTGAAATTAAAAAAGTGTAAAAAACTAAGTTTTGTCTTTTCTATTACTTTTCTTAGGGTACATTTATCTTTTCTGTGGTGAGATACCAGCCTCTGAAGTTTAATAAAACCTATCTCTACCCTACCTGGGCTTATGCTCTGGGTTGGTTCCTTGGACTTTTCTGCGTTCTAATGGTTCCATTGTGGATCATCTTTAAAGTCACACAGATGGAGGGGACGCTTTTACAGGTATGATTTTTTTTTAAACAAATTTAGAGTTGGATTTTAACTATGTACTTTATTTTCAACTTATCATTAGAAATTTACCAATCTTATAAAGACTTGTTTTCAGAAAGTTTCCTCTTGATTAGCTAGGATCAAGGTGTGTCAAACTCCGGTTCTTGTGAACTGATGTCCTACAACTTTTAGCTTTGCTAATGGTCCAACATAACTAAAACAAATGGTTAAATTGGCTCCTCAGGATGTAGTCACTTTCTAAAGGCTCCTACAGAGTCCAGCTAATCTCCAAATTAATTTGTTGAGTTTGAAGCATTGGAACCTATGTACAGGACTCAAGGTCCTGAGGGCTTGGAGTTTGATATCTGTGCCGCAAGTGTTTTCAGACAGGTCAATTAGAAAAAAAAAAGAAAAATCAAACAAGTGCTTTGTTTTTTCCTCAATTAGTTTAAAGCATCAAAGTCAATAACTTCAACCACTTCAAGTCAGCAAACACATAAAGTGATAGCAGTGCATCTTTTAGTTAAACAAACTAGCTGAAGTTAGAGACATTTAAAGTAATAATTTTTATAACAATAATACAGTTATATGACTAATTTCAAACCATCAAATGCTAAAAACAAAATAGTTTTTTACATTAATTTTATGTTAATTCAGAATTATGCTGCTAATTTAATGAGCGGAAGCACTTTTTATATTATAGCTCTTCAAAAAAGAAGGAAAAAAAAATACAAACTGGTGAAAATCAGATAAGGCAAACTTCATAGGAGCCTTGACATCTGTGTCAGTCATAATAAGCTAGATCAGTGGCTCTCTGCTAAATGGCTGCAGCTTTTTTTTTTTTCATAAACTTGCATCTACTCTTAAAGTACATTCAAAGCTAGAAGTTGGATTTGTTGTGCTAGTTCAAGACACAAAGTTCATTAGGAGGCAAGACTAAAGCGATTTCCCAACCCGTCTCTTAGAGTTCTCTGGATGAAACAAAGCAAAAAATAAGATAAATATGTTTATTTGAAGACTGTGACCTAGTTTGCACTTTGAAAATCTGCAACAGCTGGACAAACACTGTTTCTCACGTAACAATGATTTTTGCTTTTGGAAAGGGTGTGTTGAAAAGGTCAGTTTAAAACTACATTTATTTGTTGTCATACCATCTCTTCCATTCTTAAAGAAAATTAAAATAGAATACAACAGTATTTTTAGGGGTAGAATTTAAAACTTCAGGTTAAGTCATTACACAAGGATTAGTACTGTATTTCTGTACATTTTAATTACATGGTTTCCTTTGAAAAGGAAACTGAAGGTCAAAATCATAGAGGTCATAAGGGTTTTATTTGCCTGTTGTTATGGTAAAAAGAGGGAGGCAGGGAAAGCAGTCCAAATATAAAGATAAAATCACAGTTTAAGAGCTCACTTATCAGCCTTTCCTGAAAACAAACAGGCACCTCTGATGGTCACAGTCCTCTAATGACCTAAATGTATCTATACCTAAAGTGTTTACATAAGCAAAACATTAACATTTTATCCTTGACAATGATTATATCCATCCTTAACAGTTATACTTAAATTTCATATTGAAAGAATGAGAATTTTGAGATAAGTGCCTGAGCATTTCTCTTCAGGATCTGTACATATGCACATTCAGAAAAAAAGCAAATTCATAACATTAATACTATTGACTAGATTGTTCGGCAAACAAGCTTGATGTCAGGGTTTATGTACTGCAATTGCATTCAAGGTTTCAAAGTCACATTTTATCTCTTAAGATATATGGGCTTATTCTGCCTTACTTTTAAATTCATTTAAACTCAATAGCAGTGGTGGCTGGATAAAAAAGTTCTGGATGGGGCGTGATGTGAAAATATATTTCTATCTATCTTCTCTACTGTAAAATGGAATCAATAGTAAGAAGTCAAATAAAGCCGAACAGTCCAGTTTCACAAATAACGTAAATGAGTTGTTTTCTGTTGCATAATGATCCATAATTTTCAATGCAGAAGGGTATCAAAGGGTATCAAATTCAGCAATCATTACTAATGAGCTATAGACATTAAATGCTACATTGCGTCTATTAAAATAGAACACATATTTGAATAAAACTGTGCATAGATGCATAGCCCTGCTGATGTTCTATGGTATTGATCTTCAAAACTACTTAGTGCATTTTATTATAACTTATTTAATTTTAGTATTATTATTGTGTGTTAATATTATTTCACTGCTGTTAATGTATCTAACATGTCTCTTGTAAATGAGACTTAAAGACTTCAGTGATTTTCCTGTATAAATAAAGGATTATATAGCTTACCGGATAGCCTATATGCTGTCCGTCATCCAGTGATGCCGCTATGGTTATATCTCCTAGCATAGCTAACTTGGCACAGCTTTTCACATGACCTCTCAGTTTACCTTACTCAATTCGTTGGAAGCTATGTTCATTAAGTTGGCCGTTCTCCCTCTGACTGATTGTGCTGCACGAACGCCTTTGTTTATTTGTGAGGGGCAATCTTGAGCACCACATGGCCATGAAATTCTGCACTTTGGCTATTCAGCTGCACTACTTGGGCGATCTGTACATTGTCTGTGGGAATTCCTTGTTAAATGAATATCATTTGGTGGGAAATGTAGTTCATATAGTATATTCCAAATAGAGGCACACTGTAGTAAGCCCATTTGTTTTTATATAACTAAATTTATAAAGAATACATCATACATTCTACCCTCTTTTATCAGGTAGGGCAGGGCCCTAACTCCACTACAGTAGTTGACTGTTGCGACTGTTTAATGGTTTGATTTTTGTGTTTAACTAGACTTAGAAGAGGAAAGTCAAAGCCCAAAGTTGTAATCTGTCAAGATTGGTTTAAGCGATCTGACCCACATTCAGAGAACCACTCAGAGACCAAGGGAAAAAGTTAAACAGGTTTATTCAATGTTGATAAAATACAGAAGTTGGATCTGGAACTCAGTGGACTGGTGAACCGTAACTGGAAAGTCTGAAGGGGAGATCACAATGATCAGTTCAGGGACTGTAGGAAATTTGACTGAGGCTTGAATAATACTGGAGAGGGACTCACGTATGAGGGGGCTCTTGTCTGTCTATCCAACTTGTGGGGGTTAATCCAAAGAAGAGGGAACTCGTTGGAGGGTGGACAGATAGACAAGCGTGGGACCCAGAGGAGTACAGGAGCGGACTGTGACTTGGATTTCCGATGAGGACTTGAACGGGTCATGTGGAGATTTTCCCCTGCTCAGTGTGTACTCAGTTAATCCTTCCAGGGGGAGAAGGTCCAGGTATCCAGTTACTCAGGAAGGCTTCCTGCCGAAGAGCAAACACAAAAACTAGATAAGACTCAGAGAAACAAAGCTTAGGTTAGACTCTGCTAATCTCAGCTTGGCTAGAGTACCCAAAACTGGCAAACACTCTGGAGTCGACGTAGTGACAGCCCACTGCTCAAATACTCCTCCAGTAATGATCCAACGAGCCGCAGAGGTGCAGGGAGGCCCAACAAGGAACAGGGCACCACCTGGTGGTGGAGAGAGAAAAACACACAAACAACCCACACAAACTCGATTCCTATCAACCGGAAATCAGACTTCCATGTTAAAATGTGTGTTGAGCCTCAGTTAAAACCTGCCAGACAATCTGGATTGTGAGCGTAGCTTGAAAAGCCCACAAGGGCCCACTCTCCACAGAAGGGTGCTAACATTAACGGGATTTGCTGTTATCAAGCCTGTAGCTGTTCCACCTAAATGCGCTATTTTTATAATCTGGGAGTGGACTGCAGGCAGTTGGTAACTGCTGCTGCTTGTGTAACCTTTACATAGGCCATTTGTACTTGCGCATTCTCATGTCCTTGTATACTCATGAAACCACATCAACCTATGCCCTACTACTGTTCCAATTCACAAGAACAGCAGACAAAGAATAGACAAAGTCCCAGGATGTTGTTCTTGCCCCTCCTTATTTACCGAGTATGCATAAGAGTAGACATGTCCATTCTTGAGATATACAGCTGTGCCAGCATGCACTGCGGCAGCAGCAGTTTTCAATGGAGCGCTCACAGAGCTCAGAGTCTTAAAATTAAAGTTCTCTTTTCTGTTCCTGTTGCTCAACAAAGATACGTTTTAAGATCATTTGAGGGGAGAACATTATACTTTTAAGCGTCACTATATGGCCTATTTACCCATTTAATGCTAATTTAAATAAATATTTCCGAGGTTTGGAGGACTGTGGCAACCAGCAGACCTCCAAGGGTAACGGCAGCCAGGTCTAATCCTAGCCCATCTGCAGCAGCCCTCTCTCGACATAGCCATGTGTGAAGGACCGCTGGCTATGATGCCGATTTTTTTGTTTTATTTGGCAAAAAGTTCATTTGATTTGTGTTTATCTGACTGTGTTCATTATTATTTCCCCACTAAATGAAAAAAGTCAGAATTTATTATTATCGAGAGACTATAAATAACCAGTGATTGGAGTAACGGCGTTAGTAACGCCGTTGCCTTTTTTTTTTAGCAACGGGTAATCTAACTAATTACTTTGACTGTAACTATAACACAGTTACCTTGCCGACACCCTGTATGGATGGATGGATGGATAGATAGACAGAATGTTGTTGCAGTATCTATAACAACCCAAACACACAGGATTTCAGAATTAGACATCCCCAGTTATTAATTTCATACACTTTTTCATACCAAAAAAACTTTGATCTATATAATTCAAATAAACTTTTTTATGAACGAATGCCCTAAAAGTGTCTAAAAGAAGTTTTGAAAATAGCAGATCTATTTCAAAACATCATATTGGTTAAAATAGCAGACAGACAAGCCAACAAAATGTCCATTCTATTCAATTCAAAACCAAAAACTTCCTGATCTGCTATGAATTATGCCTTACACACAGACAAATAAAATCATCATTACTCTGAAAAGGCAAAGAACCAAAAACATTCTTTCTACTTATTTAAATTAGGCTTTACTTCTAAGAATTTGCCCCTTGGTTACTGTTGGTCAGTGGGCAAAATGGATATAAATTCATAGAAGTCTGATATAAAAAGAAAAAATTACACAGAGAACCTGATTGCCTTATAATGCCATGGTAATCCGGACCAAAATTTCCATATGTTAACTAAAAATTTTAATTGTTCAAATTGATAGAAACAAGAACTATAAGAGATAAATATTCAAAGATCTATCTACCTTTTTTATCCGGGTCCTTATCCAAAAATAAACAGTATGCAATTAAATATTTTCTTTGTATAGAATTTAGATTCCTTTTGGTAGAAGTAAAGAGGGTTTAGCATGACGTTTTATGAGGTGGAAGAAATAAAATGTTGATTGTTAGATAAAAAGATTTTTTACACTTGGCAGAGGATTATCAGCCATATATAGTTTATTAAGTAGTGAGGGCAGGAAGAGTCATACTCCTGGGAGCGAACCATCAGTGTGGAGCGTAATGCGCAGACTCTGAGCTACGCATGCTCAAACGCATTTCTGCACAAGCCCAGCTGGAACAGCAGAGTTTGTAAGAGTTCAGTGCGCAGTACCGGATTATCCCAGCTCATTTTTACTCCCACAGCTGCTCCCACGGTCCATCTGTGGTCATGCAGAATCTGCACCACTGCGCGCCAGGTGGACGGCATGACCAAACAGCTGCATTGCTGATACTGCTTAGCTTGTTTAACAGATTACAGCACAAGGATGCATTTTAAAGGTCTGACAGACAAGCCACTTACATTTTTATTTAGTCTCGTCGACTAAAGCTCAGCTCACCAGTTTTTCGTTATCGTCATGAAAAAAAGGAGCGTAAGCAAAATAATTTTGTCATCATCATGGTTGACGAAAACAACACTGCCCGTAATCCAGTTTTGTCCAAGTCAGAGCCCCATAGTGGGCCAGTCTCGGTGCCTGAACCCTGTAGTCGGGCCAGTCCCCGAGCAGAGCCTTTTAGTGGGCCTGATACTTTTTTTTTGTTAAGCCCAAGTTATTTATAGGTGGCTAAGTAGAGCAGCCTTTTGAGTGTTCCCCCGATTTAGTGGCTTTTTCTTTTGAATTCTCAGTCCTCTGTTCTGAAACCTTACATGCAGCATTTCAGAAAAGAACTACAAAATATACACAGATGTAGTGAACAGTTGAAGCTTTTTTTTTTATAAAACCCAAAACATGTAACTCTAAGGACATTTGCATGTGTCTCACACACTACATGTCATGAAAAAAGGGTATTTTGGGGTCTGGGTTGGCTTTGGTGGAGGAGCTCACCAGCTGGCTTGTTGTAGCTTTTGTTTTGAAGGTGAAGTCGCCTGCATTTAGACCAGTTAAACTGTGACAGTGAAGCAGGGTAAGTTGGTGGTTCTCTAGTGGCAGTGATTTTGGGTGTTCAGGGCATAGCTGGGGTTGTTTGCCCAAGGTTTTGTTCCGCCTGCAGAGGACTGCTTGGCTGGTGAGTTGATCCTGTCTTTGGAGTGGGATTTACGGGTCCAGTGTAACTTAAGCACCTGGTAGTTTTCTCCCTTTGTAGAAGAAAACTTCCAGGAGGTTATCCTGTTTTCAGTTTATTCGTCCTTTTCTCCTCTATTCTTACTCTCCCTCTCTCCTTATTTACATGTTACCTGACCTCTCTTCTTTTCTTTATGCTCTTTTTCCCTTTTGTCCCCATCTCTTTATATTGCATTTCATATAATCCTTTAAGAATTTCACACACAGATTTGTATACAATTTCTATGTTCTTGTCCAATATTAACCAAGGTAAACAGCTATTTTTAATTTTGTCTATGGATGTTTAATCCTTAATTTATTAATTACATGTTATGGGCAACAAATAATAATTTAATTGTGCTGTCTCTAGCTATTTTTATTCTGTCCAGGTGCATCATATTACACTGATATAATGTTGTCCTATACGTATGTGTATGTCATAAAGTTCAATGTAAAATAGCAATGAATTGAATGCCTTAAAAAATCTCTAAAATGAATGTTAAAATTGCTCTGCCTTAGCCATTCACATAACTTCACATAACTTATGAATGTGAATGAATAATATACATCTAATATTCAATTTACTTGCGTCGGTGTTACATGTTTAAAAACCCCTAAATCTCTGGTTATAATAGGCTAAAAATAAAAAACAGGTCAAACAATGGAAAGCTTCAGCTTTTAGTAACTGTACTTAATAAATGAAAAATAAAGGGTTCACAAGGATATTGAAACCCTTTCCAAGGGGAATATATCTGGTCAGAATCTTTTAATAGCTGTTGAGACATTTTCTATTAAAAATAACAAGAATGTGTGTAGTTCATTGCAGGGTTATGGAATGAAGTCCAAACATCAGCCAGAAACAGACAAACATTCTGTGTGCTTGGGAACTTTATGATTTGTTTAGCGAATGACCTCTGTTGATCCTTTTCCCACAGAGACTCCGGCAGCTTTGCCGCCCTGAAAAGATGAACAGTAAGATGAAGCAACCAGAGCGTTACCCTTTGAACCCAGACAATGCTCTTACACCTGCTGTTAGCGAATATAAGGGAAGTTGTGCCGCTGAGATGGAGATTCAAGTGTGAAAAACTTTTTTTTTTTTCTATTATTTTAAAGCCATTTTTTCAAGCTTTTTATTTTAGAGTAATTATTTTTAAAGACAAATTCAATATGATGATTACTTGCTGATCAATTCTGGTCTAAAACCAGCATTTGAAGCAATTTAAAGTGTCGTAAACGTATGTACACATATGTTGTAGTGCTAAAGCTTATTAAAGCTATTTTCATTAAAAAAGGCACTAATTTCATATCCCCATTTTCATAATGACCATGTCTTGCTAATTATTAGCATTTTCTACTAAGTGATGCTGTTACACAATGTTTAATACTATTCTAAAAACATCAAATGAATAAACAATTTAAAAGTGAATAAAATGGATAATAATTCTTTAACATGGCTTATGTCATTGGTTGTTGGATTTTATTTTTATTGCTCTGAATTTTGATGAACAGTGTTGTCTTTTCCTTCCAATTATAGTTATTCCTTTAGATCTGATCTGCATTAGCCTTTTACATCAATTTAAATGTTTTTATGAGCACTATGAAATTCTCAAGTTCATTTATGCACGCTTATTTTTATTTCCATTGTAAAAATGTAAACACATTGACTCTAAAAGGGAAAATGTGCTCAGGTTTGAATTCAGTAGTAGACAAAAGGGGTCTCAGCATAATTCCCATTTCTGCATAAACTTATATGTCACTAGTCTTTTGTTTTCAGGCATTTAACAGGATCAGATGTTTTGTACTTTACTTGTCAAGATCAAGAGCTGATGAAGGGTAAATGGGTCTCTATTTTTGCTGTTTTTAACTTTGCTCTGTTAAATATAGATTTTTATTCTTGCCTTTTGTCTTCCATGTGCATTAGGTCTTAGGCTATGTTTACACTGCAGGTTTTGATGCTCAATTTCAACTTTTTTCATGGAATCTGAGTGACCATTCTTTCTGCATGGTTACTCAGACTGCTATATAAATGCAGCCAACATCTAACTCTTTTGTTAATGTTTCACTGCCCCAATGTGACCCACATGGGCTGAAGAACGAGTTAGATGTCATGCAGCAACATGCTGCTTACAGATATAATAACAGAGGTTTGCATCGCTGTGTTATGTTTTCAATAGAATTATTATTACATCAGTAAAGAAAAGGACCACTAATTAAAATATGTTTTTTGGAGCAGTGACTGCTGTTCTGGAGAGGAGTCCTTATGAATGAGAAGCAGAAGGCTGGATGATGTAGTGAAAATGAGGCGAAATTAGCTTTCAAACGGGTATGCATACAATTTTTTACCCTATATTGGAGAAGCTCAAATGAGATTTTTTTTCGGAGGTGAAAAGATCAGATTAAGGCCATTCATTCTGACTATCATGAAAAAGTTGGTTATGAGTCACATATGGGCAAAATAATTCTGATTTGGGTCACATTGCCTGCAGTGTGAATATAACCGTAGTCTCTTATGCTTGTATTTCTTTGCACTTTCCTCTGTATGTACATCTGACACAGAATATCTATTTTCACTGTAAAATGACAAAAAACTGACAATTTGATCTTATCATTTCTTGTTTTACTATAGCAAGAAAATCAAAATAATTTCTTGTTTAAGAAATGCATGAAAAAAAGTGAATGCTTCACATTTATTGATTTGAAGTTCAAATACACTAGGACACTAAACCTTTATTGAAAAGGTTTTTATGTAACGTTTTTTGAGGCTTATAAGCAACATAAAAAGGCAGATTCCATTTTACAAATGCATACATTTTTAAGGAAGCTCAATACAGGCTTAAATTGGAAGGCAACCAGATTTCTGCTCTCTTTGTCATGATGACTCAGAATGACTTAGAATTTACACAGGCATTTACAAAGACCTTTGAAAACACCTCTTGTGGTCTATTGAGAACAACAATCTGTTTTATGGCATCTTTATCTATGTTATATTTGGAGGATAAAATATATTCTTGCAAGTCTGGGTGTTGTGAAGAGTTTTGCTGTATAGGGCGCTGGTCCAATTCTTAAAATAGATTTTTGGTTGGGGTTAGTATATTGGTGTGTGTTGCTTTGGATAAAAGCGTCTTTCAAATGCATAAACATTAGGCAAGAACATTGTTAAAAAAAATTAAACCTCAGGAAGGAAATTAAAGCCTGGGCACACATTGATCTTTAAAATAGGAAATGCCCACCAGCTTCACATACCATTAATCAGAAGTTTAGAAGGTAATCTTGCAAAAATATTTAGGAAATGTGTATAGCTTTCTAAATGGTCTTTTGTTATTCTGAAATTTAGCATATACATGTATTTGTCAATCATAAATCACTTAAAACAGAAAAAGGAAATTTCAGGAAAATTATTTGTCTTTCATGCACTGACTGTACCTTAAAGGAGAATTCCGGTTTTTAACACTTTTAGCCCATTTTCTGTAGTGTCCAGGATGAAATCGAATGATCGACACCAAAATTTTGACAATTGGTCCTGTCTCTGCTTTTTGGCTCATTTAGAATCCACCCCTGGCTGCTTCAGAACGGCTTCCATAGTGCATGTCCGATAATGTCCTTAAAACAACCTTAAACGTTCTTTTTTTAAAATATGCTACTCACCGGGTCGTCAGCGCTGTTCAATGACGTTCCAAAAAAAGTTTCGTAAAGAAAAAACGTTCCTGTAGTGTTTTATTTAGCATTTTGTAAATCCCATTGAGTTCTGTTGGAATAGTCAATATTCCCCTGCCACCGGAAACGGAAATGGGGCCTGTTTACACAGTTGTAGTCTTTTCGCTTCACTCTGTGTACTCCGACGACGAGAATCAAGAATCCACCTTTCGTATTCCATTTTCAGAGTTTTTTAAAGTGTTTAACAGAGACGTTAGCACCTCGACGTCGGAGTACACAGAGTGAAGCGAAAAGACTACAACTGTGTAAACAGGCCCCATTTCCGTTTCCGGTGGCAGCGGAATATTGACTATTCCTACAGAACTCAATGGGATTTACAAAATGCTAAATAAAACACTACAGGAACGTTTTTTCTTTATGAAACTTTTTTTGGAACGTCATTGAACAGCGCTGACGACCCGGTGAGTAGCATATTTAAAAAAAAGAACGTTTAAGGTTGTTTTAAGGACATTATCGGACATGCACTATGGAAGCCATTCTGAAGCAGCCAGGGGGTGATTCTAAATGAGCCAAAAAGCAGAGACAGGAGCAATTGTCAAAATTTTGGTGTCGATCATTCGATTTCATCCTGGACACTACAGAAAATGGGCTAAAAGTGTTAAAAACCGGAATTCTCCTTTAATATTTGCATTTAACATTAATTATGTACCTGGAAAAATGAAAGCATTCATCTTTAATAAACTAATGCTTCTATCAATGTTTTCCTCTAGAAAGCTTTGCTGCAGTGCTATACTATGATTGTAATGTTTAGTCTCTGATTTTATGTATCTTAATTTTATTTAGGTATTTCCTAGCTTTACAGCATCTTTTATTTAGGTAATTAAAGAGGTTTGTCACCTCATTCCCATGTCTTCTCTTTGTAATTAATACATTTTTCAAATACATACTGCATGATTACTATTTTCATGTAATGCACAACACAGCCTGCCTCTGGATAACAAACTTCGAGATTTTGCTCACTGGCTGAAGCTTGGATTTGATCTAAAGGTTTGAAGAGCCAACAAACAGCAGGATTTTGAGTTCAACATCTCTTGAAATTTGTCAGTTGTAGGATTCAACTCAGTTTAGCAATGCAGTGCCAGACCACAAGAAATCTCACCACAAATAACTTTTCAGAACAGCTTGTTCCAATTACTCCAGTCTTTTATGACCAGGATTGAATCAGTCTGCAATTACCCTGCGGTATATGGTGTGCCGTAACCATGTTCCTGGCTGAAAGCCTTACTAAACTTCTCATGAGCAAGTTTTTTTTGCCTCAGTGGCTTTCAGAACAAAATACTTTTGGCAAATCAGTACATCCATACTGAGAACCTTCACCAGCATATTACCATGTACAGTATGGTGATGCTGGAGCCACTCAGGCCTCTATATGTCAGCATAAGAATGTCCATATTTGCTGACCCACACATAAGAGTGAACAGATATAGAAATGAACAGGTGTAACAGTTATTTAAACAGAAAATAAAAGTAATTTACTCTTGAACAATACACAATAATTTTTCTGCTTTCCGCCATGCTGAAAGGTCAAAGTTTATCTTATCTTGGCAACTCTGGTACCATAAAAGTTTTCCATTATACCAGTGGAATATGAGTGGGTGTTAATTTGCAATTTTTTTTTGTGGGCGGTCTCCCTTTTTTCCTCCAAGCTCGGGTCCTGGGAGCTTGAGGGTTCTGCGCAGTATCTTTGCTGTTCCTAGAGCTGCACTTTTCTGTACCGAGATGTCTGATGCATTTACAGGGATCTGCTGTACAGGGAGAGGCCACAGGTGGCCTGCAGAAGGCTTGTTAGGGGGTTTGTTTTTGGCACAGGTTGGGCAGGCTAGGACATATTCCCGGACGGCCATCAAAAACGCAGGGCTTGGGTCATGCTGGTGCCTACTGTAGATGGATGGAGAGCTTGACTGAGTGGAACCAATGGATGACTCGGGAAAAGGTAGTTTGGAAAAATGCAACCTAAATACATAAAAGCTATGCGTTTATTAACTAAAATGGTAATTTTATTTGCAAAAAACGGAAAATTAATTCTTGAGGATTTGACTCAAAGTGGCATATTTTCCTGAGAGTGAAATAATAATAATAACAATAATAATAATAATAATCCTTTTTGCTATATTTTAAACAAGTATGTTTAAAAAGAGTAAAAGCTAAAACCTTCTTTATAGATTTAAATGTAGGATGATAAAACAAAAAACATCCTAACTTTCATAATTAGGACTAAAATAGCACCTGACATAAAGTTATAAATGGTTGATAATGCTTTCTATTCGGACTGGGACATAAAAGGTGATTAGGAGTTTTACCTGAGAACCCAAAAAGACCCCCCCACAGGTATAAGGTAGAGGGGGGCAACTCAAAGCTTAACTTTGAGGGATGGCAGCAGAATACGCCATAAGATGTTCTGATTTTAAGGTCAGAAGTGACGAGGTCTTCCTAGAGAGATCTCCCTTTATCCGAGGCTAGGTTACCTTAAACCACCCTAACATTTTGCATTGAGATTTATCTCTTTTTTTACTTTTAATGAGGTTTGTGTCGTATAGAAGCTCAGGTTAATAATTTGACTTGTACTTTGTAGACATAAAGGAGTCTATTGTTTTGACTGATTTGAACTTTTCTCTTTTCAGGGAAACAAATAGGGTAACTGATATTGATAAGAACAAGAAATTTAAATTCTTAGCAAATGCATCTTTTACCATGAAAATTATCATCATGAGGAAA